TTGATAATGAAAAGACAGAACTTAATGAAGAAGAAGCTAAGCAGTTGATATATGAAAATAGTTCTTTTTATGATCTTCGATGGGACAATAAAGCGTCTGGTGGTCGGTTACCATATTATTCTGGTGGTTCAAAACGTACTCAGCAACGTAAAAATAAAGAATTACGGGAGGCAGCACAAGGATCAATGAGTTTGGATAATTTTTTTAAACCCAAACAAAAATTTGAAATTAAATATGAAATGTCAGATTCTGATACGAGTGATTTAGACGTAGCAAATAATAATTCTATTTCAGAACAATTAAATACATTAAATAATAGACTTAAGGATACAAAAAATATGAACGCTTATGAATATCTTCGTCTTCTGGCTGTACATAAATACCTTAACGCAATTTTTTCTCATGAAGAGTTACAATCACGTATAGAATTAAGCCTTGAAATATCACAACAAGTTTTTCAACGTGGTCCATGGATGGCACGTTGTATTCGTGAGTGGTCAAAGAGTTGGATAACAACTAGGGCCTTACCTGTATATAGACAAGGACAACGAAAATATACACAAACTCTTATTAATGATGAGGACGTACAAAGTTCTTGCTTATGTTATATTCGTACTATAGGTGAAAGAATAACTGCTAAAAAATTTCAACAATATATTCAGGAAAATATCTTGCCACATCTTACTAGCTCCCGCACTTTAATTTCATTAGAAACGACTCGAACTTGGCTTCGCCGTCTTGGTCTTGTATATCAACAGCATCAACAAGGTGTTTACTATGATGGACACGAACGTCCTGATGTTGTACAATATCGCTCAGTATTTCTTAAAAAGATGAAAAACTTTGAATCTTTAATGCCACAATTTGTTGGCGAAAATATGGACATAACCATTAATCCTGAAATAAGTAAAGAGCAAAGAATTCACATTTTTGTCATTCATGATGAGTGTACATTCTATACTAATGATGGTCGTCCCTCTGTATGGGCCCCCCTTGGTATGCCGCCACTACGTAAAAAGGGAATGGGTAAAGCTCTTATAATTTCAGAATTTTTAACTGAGACTTGTGGTCGCCTTACAATTACTCTTACAGAAATAAGTGAATTAAACTTGCCACCAACATTTCCACAAAAAGCCCGGGTAATTATCAAACCTGGAAAAAATGATGATGGTTGGTGGAATGCTTCCGATTTGCTTATACAAGTGGCTAATAAAGCTATTCCTATTTTCGAAGCAACTCATCCAAATTGCGTTGGTGTGTTTGCATTTGACAATAGCACCAATCATAGTGCTTTTGCAAGTGATGCGTTATGTGCTAAACATATGAACCTTTATCCCGGTGGTAAACAGTCAAGATTACGTGACGGCTGGTTTATCAATGCACAAAATGAACGAGTTACCCAACCGATGATTTTTCCCAAGAACCTCCCCCCTGATTACGATAATTATATTTTTCGTGATCAGCCAAAAGGTATTCGTCAAGTGCTTCTTGAACGTAACTTATGGCCTACTAATGGTCTGAGGCTAAAATGTAAAAATAGTTATTATGATCCAAGTGCGTCTAATTGTTGTGCGTGTCACCTTTTGTCTGCACAGCCTGATTTTATGATGCAAAAATTAGCATTAGAAGAACTTATTGTTGAACGAAGGCATGTTTGTATATTTTATTCTAAATTTCACTGTGAGCTGAATTTCATTGAACGATACTGGAGTGCTGCAAAACGTTATTTACGTGAACATTGCGATTATTCATGGTCAGGATTACAAGCTACTGTATCTGAAGCACTTGATTCAGTATCACTCAGAACTATACGTCGTTTCGCACAAAAGGCATGGCGTTATATGGATGCTTATAGACGTGAACTTACTGGCCGGGTAGCAGAATATGCTGTACGTAAGTATCGTTCTCACAGGCGCATACCTAATGATATTGATTTAATAAATACTAAATAAAGTGAGTTAAATAATAGAAACTACTTATAATTTGTTTTATCTATTAAATCCTCCAAGTTAAAATCATTA